AATAAAATTCACTGACCCACAAAGCCTCATTGAGGTATTTGCTTCACTTCCAAAATTTTGATACATAACAAAATTATTCAGTATACAAGATTTTTCAATAGATACCCACCAGTACACAAAAACAATCAAAACTTTTTGCACCTAATGTTCATATACTAAGACCTCACAGTGAAATAGATTTGTCACATTCTGCCTAGATAAATAACATGGAGAAGTATAAACCTATGGAAAACAATACAAGTTGTATTAATTTATACTGTTTTTATGAAACTGTCCTTGTTTGAAGATACACAATAAAGGAACCCTATTTGTTAATGAGTTGGGTAAGTTCCTTATTGCATTTTCATTGCTTTAATAGGTAAGAATTAAATCTATTATTGATATTCTATTTTATTCTTCACTAATCTGTTAATTCAAGAAAAAAATGCATGTCAGTGTGCTTCAGAATTTGTTTTAAAACCCAACATAAAAGAGTCCTTAAGAAGTTAAATTTGTATCCCTCTTTGCAAGCATACATAGAGCTGTTTAAAATACTAAGTCCAGGTTTTCATGACAAAAAGCCAATACTAAAAGTTACACAAAAGTATACCTTAATCAATACAGAATGTTTCAACCTAGAAGAAATTAGTATCTCCCTCTCTCAAGACTGCAAAGGATTAAAATATGTAGAGAAAAATTAGACAAAACAATGTATGTTTATACCCCAAAATGTTTTATACATAAGTGCTATCGTTCACTTTCTCACATGCAAGTTTATAAATACTTTTAAAGTACACATACATTATAGTTTTGAAACGTCCACTGCAATATTATATTTGACATGTAAGAAACGAGTATGAATTTTTATGTCAGTCAAGGAAAGGAAATCAGATCAGAGCTATGCAGATTTAAATAGCATAGATTTCAATTAAAATACAAAATACAAAATAAAATGGATTGCAGTTCAGGACAAAACTTGAAGAACGGAAATTGCCAAAGACATGTCTAACTTTTTCCATTGAAGTATCCTTGTCCACACGCATACCTTTCCCATATGTGCCAAAATTCTAGTATGCATCTAAAGGACAAGCTTGTTTTCATTCTTAAGTTCTCCAATACCCCCTTGCAAATAGAAAAAGAAATTTACTGCATAGTCTTGTTTATGCTTGTAATATTTCAGAAAGTAGATGCACTTAGCAAAAGCACCAGGTCCTATGTGTGTGGTTGAAAGGATATACTAGAACTGTACTAGAAAGAATAAAGTACTGTACAGATGGAATTAAGAATGTCTGTCCAGGAAATTATTTGCCTATTGCTAGACACCATTTTAGTTATATGATACAAGCATTAAAAAAGAGAGAATGCTCATGTACAGATATCCTCTGTTACTGGAGTCAGCTAAGTATAGAGAGAAGATTAATAGAATTGGAATTAATTTAACTATTTCAACATTGGGACACAAAACTACAGAACTTGAGTTCTGTGATGAGGTGGCATGGAAGTAATCCAGAAGGTATCTTTCCAGAACACTGGTTCAAGCAAACATGCAGCATTAATAACCATTAATAGTTTGTTTCAGGACCTTTCCTACCTGAAGAATTTCAGAGTTTTAAATGAAAAATGAAGATTATTCAGGAAGTTATTCTTGAAATAATTTGCAATGTGCATTAGACAGGTTTGTTTTTGGAAAATTGCATTTGTGTATCTTCAGACATTTTCATTTGTCTTCAATCTTGGTTTGGAGACACTTGAAATAGTTCCAGTGCATAGAAGGGTAATTGAATAACAGCACTTGAATGAGCAAACCCACATTATGCAAACAGCTGAAATAAAAATGGAGAATTGCATTCCAATGTTTCCATAGTACGGACTGACGAGACAAAACTAAAATGTAGAACATTACAAGTAGCAATTTCTTTCTTTCAACAGTACTTTGTGATAATCCTAAAGTCTTCAAGTTTCTAATGTCTCCTCATTTGCTCCACAAGTATCAACTACACAGATTAAACAGCTGGTCACCGGGAAAGCACGAACTTTAGGGTTGGCTATCCATTTGTCAGTTTCAGTGTTATATTCAAGGATGTGCCCCAAGCGACCTACACCCTGAAATCCAGCCAGAACATAAACTATGGAACCCACAGCAGCACATTTTACTGTTACACCTTTCCATGGCATTGGAGAAACCATCTTCCATTCATTCATCTTAATGTCATAGTATTCCACATTGTCTAAGCCACCTTTATAAAGAAGGGGGAAAAAAAAGTATTAAGCAAATATAAGTTTGCCATAATAATTCATTTTAGGATTAAATCTTTTTTCCAAAAAATTAAAAATACTTTACCAACATACTAAATTATAAGCTACTTGAGTGCTTTAAATAAATAAGCAACATTTAGTCAACTACAGAAATATTATGTAAAAATATATAGGCCCTAGAGGTGAAAAGTAACATTTGAACTGTATAAAGTTGATGGAATAATTATTGTGAAATAATAATTTCTCTTAATTTAATATCTTGAATATGTCTTCACAGAATTTAATAGAACTTACTTCTAAGAAATGGGAGCATGCAGCCTTAAAATCTTAAATGTTTAATGCTGTAAGGGAACCTCATTTTAAAATTCTATAATTTCTTTAAAATTAAGTAAAAGGAATAATGATAGACTTATGTCTGAGCTATGCTTCATGCTTCATTATGAACACAAAACTTCCATAAGCGGTGGGGGGGTGTTAAAATGCAATCATAAAGCCACAAAATTATTGAAATTATACTATCTATGTTTGTTAATTAAGTTCCACAAATTTTATCAGACCGCCAAATAAATATGTATAGAACTGCAACTTAAAAGACTATTTACAGGATATATTGGGGATATAAAGTTACGTTAAAAAACGGGTATCACAAAACATGCAGATTAATGACTACACATTTCTATAACAAAGATCTGATTTAAGGAAGGTTGGGAATGTAAAAAACAAAACAAAACTGGAATTTGTTAATTTGTTATGAATATTATGATCAGAATATAGCTACAGATATTTATAAGGAAATGTTTTGATCACTATTTTGTCACTAGCATCTACTTTTTATTTATATTACATGATATCCTATATTAACATGTGGGGGCATATAGCTTTTGTCCTTTCTGAAAAGTTTTGAAGTTTTGATGTACAATTAATATGGAGGAGGCTCAGGGGTAATATGAAAGGGCACTTTAGAGTTCCTGTTTCTGGTGAGTCAGAATGGGGGGAGGGTTGACTCAACTCCGTTCTGTTCCATTCAAGCCTGCAGGTGCTTAAAACGTTTCACCATTATGCAAGCAACCCCCCATTTATACCAATCTGCCTAAAATACTGTGACAGCCCTACAAAGCTGATACATTTTCACATGCTGCAAGCACCAACAGTGTTGGTGTCTATCTTTCAGACAACAGGTCTTAGGGTTTTTTTCTTTCTTTTACTTTATTTCAATACTGCGACAGTCCATATAGCCTCATGGCAGTTAGGTAAAAGAAATTATTAATACGTACCTAAGCCATTTTGCCCCCCCACAGCAAATATTTTATCTTTCACAAACACCAACCCATGGTTCTTTCGGGCTTCAAGCATTGGACACAGCTCAGTCCACCTGCAAATATTTAAAATACACAATGTCATACCATATTTTCCTTTTCATTAAATATGATCAAGTGCTAGAGTTAAAAAAGGAAAGTTATAGTTAGCTGGTTCTGTTATCTCAAAAAGCATGGCAGGTGAGGTGCTGCTCCACTTAAAACGGAGTGCAGTTCTAAGTTGACGCACTTCTTGGGTAGCTATTTTACATTTTCCTCGCTGAACAAGAACAGAGTAGTTTCAGTTTTTTGAAGGGTGGGGTGGGGTGCACAATTTAGAAATCAAACTTTTCTGCAGTTTCACAATGTGAAGAAACCCAACCCTCCCCCCCTCCCCCCCAATATAGGTTTTTGACAGGGAATGAAGTCAGTACATACGTTTCTGTTGCTGGGTCATAAACTTCACAGGAGTTCAAGACTCTTCCAGAAACATTGTTCCCCAAACTTCCTCCGCATACATAAATCAGGCCATTTGCTTCTACCATCCCATGACTACACCGCTGAGTCAGCATACTGGGCTTTGTGTGCCAACTTTCTGTTCTTGTATCATAGCATTCAAATAAATATAAAGCAGAATTTCCTTTAAGCAAACAAACAGACAAGTACAGTCACTTAGGCAATCGGATGATCTGTCTGTTAAGATAATCTCACAATATTCTTAGTAGGCAAATAACACAGACAATAAACTCTCAGTGGAGGTGCCCAAATTTTGACACACCATTTCCAGGGAATGTTCACTTGACATCTCCCTCTTCATTTCTCAGCACCAAATCAAATTATTCTATTGATAACAGTTCTATTGATAACAGCATCTAATTAATGGAAGAAAAAAGCCACTTTTTTCTATTGGAATTCTCAGTAGAGGTACAGACAGAACAAATGAGAAAATACTGGTTTGTGTGTCTGTTTTAATGTGAATAAAATCTGAGAATCTTTTTGCCACGCTAGTACAGAGGAAACTCGTGAAATAAGATATGCATGCCCTCCCTTCAGTTCCTAAGGTCTGTCCTTAAGTCAGATTTCCATGTAAGCTGGAACAGTATTATTGTATAGTACTGTATTAGTAGTATCGCATAATGAACTCAAACCATTGTGTATTTAACTCATATTTTGCTGCAGTAGGCTCCATTCTTAACTATGGATTGTCTGTAACCCAGGCATTCTTAACCTGGGGACGACCTGTACAGTGGAGCAGTGCATGGAATTACATGCTGCTCCTAAAGCAGAAGCCCAGGAAAGAATTAAAACAAATTATTTGACTGCCTATAACATAATGCTGCTGGGAATCTGGGTATGTATCCTGTGATAGATGAAGCCTAATTTATTACCATGAGTAACAAGACAGAAATTTAAATTCAAAGCAAAGTATTTTTGCTTCTGTGTTTAGACAAATACACACACACACACACACACACACACAGGTATACACACACGTATGAGGAAAAGGTTCTAAAAATTTAATTGGGAAAATCATCAAAAAGCTTTGCAAAAAAAAAAAAAAAGAGCTCTATTTCACATGTTTGTCAACACATTAATAAAACCAATGGCATAGTCCTATAAAGGTCCAGTGAACCCAATAAGTTGAGTAAAATTTATTCCCATGTAAGTAAAATAATATATGTATGTATGTATAGAAAATAACCCAAGTTGTGAAACCTTCAATTCCATTAGAGGAAAGTTAATTTTTTTTAATAATAACTTTATCTTTTTTTTTTTATAAAAACTTTATAGAGGAAAGTTGCTTAATTAATGCACATAGTCCTACTGTTGTTATCATGCGGGATCGAAACCGACACAATTATCCTTACTGTAATCTATTTCTTTTAAAAAAAATATTCTGCAACAATACAGTACCAAATGTAGCTTTTCTTTTAAAGTTCCCCCAGCCATGTCCGTAAATGTGTCTTACCTACTTCTGAACCACCAGATGTGTAAATTTTACCCTCTGCTGCACAGGCTGCAAGGCTATCGCGAGGGGTCGGAGGACCCAATTTGGAGTACCAGCTGTCTTTGACAACGTTGTAGCAGTCCATTCGTTTTATAGGGAAGAGCTGGGAACCACCCAAAATATAGACTACATTGTCCCAGAAAACACAAGCTGCATCCCTCCGCTTTTCAAAGGGACATCGGATGTCTGTCCAGCTGTAATCCTGTATAAAAATAAATCAAGGCTATGTAGAATATTTTCAGCTATGCCCTTCTGAAAAAAAAGTCTTAAAAGTTTTGAGACCATTAATATTTTATTTTTATTCCACCTTTTATCAAGGATTTGGGGGTAACATGCATGTTTCTGTTCATGTTAGAACCTCATCCCCCACCCAAAAGCTATATTAAGGTGAGAAACATTTACTGCCTCAAGGTAATACGTGACCTTTTAAACCAGCCGATGGATTACATGTGTATGATTGTATTCTGAAAATGGGCAATGCTTTGATATAATTTTAATTTATGTTGGAGGAGAAATGGGAGCACAGAGATATGAAATTGACACACATTTCATTTTGATTGCTTTAAATTCTGAACAGATCATAAGCTTATGGAAACTAGATCTAGCCATTTTTACAGCCTTTATCATGGTTGGAAGAATTCAATATGTAGCTATTATTTATTATGTAAGTACTCCAGCAAAACACTCTCAGCAATGAATATTATTATTGTGTTAGTCTGAAGTCTTCTTTCAGTTTTGAGCAACAATAACAATTATTTGTGGAGGTAAACAGAGGACAAAAGCAAGTGACTGAAAATCTGAGAAACCTCTGGTCCCAATTGTATTATTAATTGTTATGTGTTTTTTCAGACAGTGGATCAGAGTAGATAAAAACACTAAAAATAAACTGCATAATACCAAAGGAGACAGTATAATACAGTAATAAGAATATTTCTTAAGAATTATAATTAGATAAACCTGCAAGAACCTGTTGGCATGACAACCAAAAATTCAGTTTCTAAACCACAAATGATATATAATCTATTCTGATTTATTAAATCTAATAAATTAGAGCTATAGGTATTTTGGGCACTGCTAAGAGATACTTAAACTCATAGACATAATGAATTTCAGCAATCAAGAGAACTGCCCAAGCACACCCAATTGAAATTAATGAGAAATGCATAAAATAAAGCTGCACTTTCTAGAGCCATGTGTCTGAAAGAAGCAGTCAAATGCAATAGCAAGGTAACAAAAGGACAATAATGATTTCACATAGGAAGAAGATCTCAATGCATACCACCTGCTGAGTCAGGAAGAAAAGGTTATAAATCAAAAGCACATCTGAACCGAATGAGCCCATTCTAGATCCCTGGAATATGGATGTAGAATGATTTATATTCTATGTGTATATTAAATATACACATAAATATACACATAAGGTCTATTTTAAAATATAAATAGAACTGACCTGGCATTTATCTATAGAGAGCATTTAAATTATTACAATCTTTACTGTGAGCTTCAGGGAATAAGAAATCTTTTTAACATGTCCCAGAAGTATTATAAATAAATAAGTGAAGCCCTGCAAGTAGGCATTATTTGGATTACTGAAAAAAATGTATTGCCCTTTGGAACACTGCAAATAATATAACTGTCATTCTGCCATCTCAACAGTGTGTAGAAAGTTTATTAAAAGCAGGAAGATGTAGGCAGGTGTGACAATCACCATTAACAACCACATTTCTGTACTGCATAAAAATACTAAATCTCAGAACAACTGAAAATCATATCTACAGATAAACAAACCTGATTTAAGTACTTCAAAGGTGTAACTGTTTCTTTTTCATGCATTCTCAGTACTAATAACATGTAGAACTAGAACTGGGATGGCAATCTCTTTTGGAGGTCACACTTTCTTCTCTTTGTGCCCTGCTTGGGGCCACAAAAACTATGGGTAAATTATATGGTAACTACAACAGAGTTGGCAGAGCTAAAAAAATTGCATGCAGGGTTTGGGAAGAGCTATCCCATAAAAATTCCCTCAAAATGAGAACATTTGGTCCAATGTTTTGTTTCCGGCTGTTTTGAGGTGTGTTTTAAGCCTCAGCAAGAATTTGGCCCTGACCATTCTTTGGGGTTCTGGAAGCTCCAAATGTGATGCTAGGAGTTGCATGTGGCATATAAGGCCAAGTAGCCAACCTCTGGATTAGAGCCATGGTGGACGTTGCTGAATCACTCTCTCCTGCAGGATTTTTATCATGAAAATGCTATTTGCAGTTAGAAAGAAGATGGGGAGTGGATCCTGATTTTTTCAAGAACAGAACTCCCTGACCCAAATGGATCATCACAAAGGAATTAACTGGGCTTGGAGAATATTCTCTTTCGGGCTCCCATATGACTTTCAACATGACCCAAAATTTTGCCTTTAATACTGCTCATATACTTTTTGATTGAAATGCATAGTATGAATATGTAAGATACATATTCCTAATAATAACCCAAAAAGTTATTACAAAGTGTTAAATTGCTATAGCAACCTCAAAATAGCGCGGTACTCTAGAAAACTGTAATCTCCCAATGCATCATTCCTTATGAGCCCAATCTGTCCCGATCTATTTTAGGAAAAATAATATTTATGTTTTGTGCAATATAAAAGAGATTATGTAACAGCGAACATCTGCCATTTAAGCACATCCCCCAGCTTTTTACTCCTTTGGTGTATAGGTAACCTAGGTATTGCTTGAAATAAAAATAATAATAAAGTAACCATAACACAGATCAATGCCACAAACTGCAGCAATATAAGATTATACATTAAATATACTTTTACATTGTACACCCAATCCATACAAATGCTGAAAGATCAGAATTACCTTTGGATTAAAATATCGACATGACTGTGGCTGGGATCCCCCAAACAAGGCAATGCGGTAATCATGCTTTTTCCTTCTTGGACGGGTACCATCCACCAATTCTTCTCTGTCTTCTGGAGAAAGTAGATGATATCTCATTCCACCTACACCAAAAGGAAAAAAATCCTGATTCTACACAGTTCAAAGTTACATCTTTATTTCCAGCATAAGAAGGCATAATAAGTATTATGTATACCTTCTGTAATGTGTAGAAAATATTAGAAAATAGTGTTTTCTACATATTACAAAACATTTTATCAACTCTATCAAAACCAGGGGAATTGCCATAATAATCTGACACAGCATTCCTTCATATATTACTAACATAAGTAAAGTGTATGCAGATGATGTAACTTGCTATGGAATAAGCCTTTCAAATGATGATATGAAATTAATGCCATCAGGAATGTTGGGAAAAGATTCAGTGTCCAATTGCCTCTTAGAAGGGCACAGTATTTTCAGTGTACAGAGGATGGAAATCTTAGCAAGATTCTTCTTGATTTCAGTAATTTTTCAAATGTTACAATAAATCCAACTTTTTCACACTTCTTTAGTATTTTATTTTGCCATGTTATCAATTCAGATGAGAGCATCTTCTATGCAATTTTGTTTCATTTCATGGAAACACATAAAAAAAACTAAAGTTATTATATAATTTAGTTAGTATGCATTTTAGATGGTGCCTTCATCTGCATTATGGTCACAGATGGTGGCTTGTAGATTTACAGATGAAGGACATGTCAGCACTGAGGCTATGTTGGCATAGATATTAGCATTAGCAATTCTATCTTAACCCTGTGAAGTGTTTAACATATGAGATACTTTCACAGATGTTCTTATATTTCCAACTGTATTTTATTCCTAAAAAATAGTTATTAAATTGGGTAAAGAATTCTTATACACTAGGGCTGCCATCCAGATTGATGAACCAGAAGTTGACAAATGGATGTGAGGTAATTCTGCTCTCGAAAACAGAGGTGAAGGAATAAACTGGTTTTGCGAGGAAACATAACCCTCTCCACTTCTGCCTACTGTACACTGAGTAGCAATTTAGGGAAAGGTATTTAGCAAGTATCATTCTTACACTGTAGTGCAGTAGTGGCCATGAAACCTTCTTACAAGGCAACATATTCATGCCCATCCTAGTACTCTCTCACACACAGTATTAGGTTTGTAAGAATAAAACATGTTCTGTGCACATATGTAATCTCTTCCTTTTATACAAGGGTCATCAAATAAAAGACCACATCAGTTTCTTCCTTCTGTGAAGCACTGCTTATTTCCTCTCCCTTGCATGTCACTGGGAATGTGCGTGAACATAAACAGTAGTTTTAATTTGTGCAGAGCTCCCAGGAAGCAAGGCCACAACTGTTTTTTTCCTTTCCAGTCATTCTTGTAAAGCTGAAAGATCATTACTGTCCTTTGTGACATATAACATACAGAGAGCACCAAAGTACCAGACCATTTTGTCTTCAAAGAGAAGGAGAGGTGTACTAACTGCATGAGGGAGTATTGGCAAACACATGGATCTAAAATTTGTACCTGGATTCTATGGAGGGAATTTCACAAGCAAGACACTTGCTACAAAAGAGAAACCGTAAGGATTAAGGCAGTATTTCACATTGCCTAATCCTGTGTTATTCAAGAAGATAATCTCAAATTGTGCCCAGAACCAAAATGAAACCCAGTGAAGAACTTTAATGCCGCAGATAGATTCACCATAGTGAATCAACAGTCTGGCTTCTATGTCCTAAACCAGCTGATGTTGAAATTTTTAAAGGCAGAACAACATGTAATCAACTGAATTATTCCAACCTGCACTGAACTAAACTATGATAATCCTAGCTAAATCATTTCAAGAATGCACAACTGGTTCGTAAGATGCTTTGTGCAGATAGCCCTGAGCAAAATACTTAGTTCCTTTGAAGTTCCATTCAGTGGAACTTGCTATCAAAAAAACATTCACAGCAATGACTATTACTCGTTCTGCGATTAGAAGATGCAGTGTACTGCAAATCATCCTTGTCCAAGCCAGGGGTGGGACTTCTTAAAAAATGTTTTTGGAATTCAAGGAAGGTATCGCCTGTGATATAGCAGATTTCCCTGAAAGTAGGACTAAAGTTTAAGAACATTTTTGTGGGGCAGGGGGAACTGGGAGAATTTTAAAATCACTTAGTTTCTTGCCCACCCCCGCCAAAGGAGAGAATTGGCTCTTTTGAAGGTGTGGTTTTCATAGGGTTATTTGGTGAAATAAGCAGTCCATAGAGGAAATTGGTATTAGAATGTTGAAAACACATCAAGATGATAAACTTACTTATAACCATTTTGAGACACTCTGGGTTATCCTGTATAAGTGGCTCTGCCTGTACAGTTTTACTAAGGAAATTCTTTGAAATTAAAGGAAACCTGACTTTAGCAAGGATGTCAACCATGTAGGGTTGACGGTTTGGCTCATCATACTTTAGCCATCGGACAGCAGCATCATAAACCTGGAAATTAAGAAGGGAAAGATATATGACTAGACATATAAACACAGCAGTCTACTTTAGAAATGGTGAAGTATTCTTATTTAAAATAAGCAACTTTGAAGCTCCACTTCAAACTCCAAACTTAAGTTTGGACCTTCAACAGAAGAAGTTACTATTACTTGAGACATTTTTTTTCTGTTACCACTTGTCAATCTCAATTGGTGAGTTCCTTTTTTCATTCAAAATTGGCAAAGAATCTCAGAAAGCAAATTTTCATATTAATAATAGCTGTTCTACCTTAACTGCTAAAATTGTTATAGTCATATGGAACTTCAGAACTGTGAATCAACTAGCAGTGGCTACAACAGCCTACCTGAGCCAAGTATTTTGTAATTGTTATTATTAAACAATGTACATATTTCTGTAGATGAGCTTGGAATAACAGAAGAAGTTGTTACTTTAAATTTTATTAAAATTTTTTGATATTAATTTGGTACTGGTTCTGTTCTTAATTTTTTTTTCTGACACAAGTGGATCTGTAATTGTCATAATCAGATATATCAACAGCTAAAAATCATATTCTTAAATCTCTGCTGTCTCTTATTAGCACTTTTAATATAAGCTTGGAAAAAACATTTACTATGCCTGCAGATATTTCATGTACATTCAACCACTCCTGAAAACATACTGGAGTTCTCCTAGTTTGTCTTTAGGCTACAGTTGTTCATACCACTTTGGAGATAGTACTACAAATTCCTTCAACCATGAGAAGGTATATAGCATTTCAGTGAAAAGGAAGGGTTTAAACATCCAGAAATTTGCTTGGAAGTTCCCATACATATATTTGTATGCAGCTATTTACATCCATAGGAAACATTTCTATTTCCCTGATACTTAAATATGGATTATATATCTTAAAAGTAAATTAATTCTAAGAAAAAAAAAATCCCTTCTCACCCCTATGGGTGGTATGTGTCTTCATCAATCTTGGGTCCTCTACCAGAGGCCTGGCAGTTTGAGGGTTCTGCGCAGTCTCTTAGGTGTTCCTAG